CGGGGCAATCAATCGATTTTCCAATAATTAAACGTCGTTGCTCTCGATTATAAGCATCATCATATGAAATAGCTAAACGAAGATTTACACTATAGGTCCATGCTTTGCCCAGTGCAATGCCCATATAGTACTCATTATTATCCATATTCTCGTCATCTTCACACAGTTTTTGTTGAATATCGCTAATCAATAATGATTGAGAAAATACAATTTCACTATTTTCATTTGATGTTTGTTTAACAGTCTTTGGTTGAGGTGTTGCTGATGTATCATTTTCAATTAATACTCCACTACGTCGTTTTGTTGTAATTTGATTTGTAACTAATAATCAGAAAAAGAAAATATAGTCATAATTTGAAATAAATATCAAGAGTTTTTACATAACATTTTAATTTCAGAATAAATTGTTTAATTTAACATATAAAGAACACATATATAAACTAGAATTCAGATAAATTTGAGATTCGATCGGTCAAACTTCAAATTATCTAATAAAACACGAATTTTTCAATATTTGTCATATGTATCTCTTGAATTATGCAGATTTGGAATCTGCATAGACAAATTCTTGGTAAAATATCGATTCAGAAGTTTTGTTTCTATGTAATATTTAAGACTTTATTGTAAGACTTAAGATATACGAGCAACATCCAGAGGCATGAGAAAGCAGAGTACAATAGAAATATCAGTTCTAGGAAAAAAACCTATTTCATATGGACTTACATCGAAATCAACTTTTGTGACCTACTCTTACAGGTATGATGTCTGGCCAGATGTTGTTCACATCTATGCATGATTTATAAAGTCAAAATAGTTGTTGAAACCGATTTTTATAGTAAAATCCACATTTTACCAAGAATTTGTCTAGAAAGATTTGAAATCTTCATTATCAGTCTTCATTATTAATCTTAAAGTTTGTCTATTCATATTTGAGACCGATAATATGAAGACCTATTGATTCTAATTTTGCTCAGACAAATTTAAAATTTCTAGTTTTGTATATAAACATGTAGTTTTTGAATATATTTAATATCGTGTGTCAGTTAGAAGATTGTATTTCGTATAAAATTCTTTTAATTTGACTACAATACCTACCAAACATAACAAGATTTGAGTTTTCAGCTAAACGTTTAACAAGATCAGTAAACTCCAATAGTAATTGATTTCGTTTATAATATGGAGTTGATGCTCTCAATGGTGCAGCTATTGAATCTACAATAATTAAAATAATATCATGATCATTTTTTTCTTGTAATTCTTGTTCAATT